CGCAACAAGCGCTCGGGGCTCGGCGTGTTCTCAGCCCGCCCTGCCGCTGCCTCTCGCCGCCCCGCTCCTCACACGGAGGGTCACGATTCGCCTCCCTGCCCCGGGTACACGTCTGTTCGAGCGGGGAGTTGTCCCGTGAAACGTGTCGGGAATTACCCGGCGGAACACGGTTTGCTGCTCAGCTGGAGGGATCAGCCCCGCCCGCCTCACCTGCGGTGGGACCCGCCAAGTTACCCCCGCGCAGCTGGAGGGCAGGGCAGGGCTGGGCTGGGGGGATGTTCTGTGCCAGCCTTGCTGCCCAGTGCTTTTCGTAGTGATCGTGCCACACCAGTAGCAGATATCAAGTCTGTTTCATGTGGCATAGACAGAACTTGTGCTGGACTTAATCTGAATCTGTGTCTTTGCTGCCTGCTGTTAAAACTTTGAGTTGGTAATTGACTGTAGTGACTCACATGTAGGAACAGATTCAAATAAATCAGCTTTCATTTAATTTAATGTGTTTGTCAGTAGTCTGCAGGATTCGTGGTCTGACACATCCCTGCAGCTCAGGCAATAATGTCTGTGAGAGTGTTACGACAGAAAGCTGAAAGTAAAAATACATCTGAAATTAACAAATGGGGATTTTGAATAAAAAATCTGACTGATGCTGGAAGGTTATGTCCAATTCTAGCCTTAGCAAGTTACAAATTGCAGTTCAGTGACCAATCACAAGCATTATTAAAGGGCAGGAGCCTATACCTTTTCATTGTTCTTAGCAAGGATATTTTGCTGTTGAGCTTAACAAAAAGGCTATGGGAGGTGCAAGGTTAATTCAGTCACAACCTGCAGGAATTTGTGACTTAGAAAGCTTTTTCTAATTTGTAGTGGAAACTTAGAAATGAAGGAGGGAGAAATCCAAAGGATTCCAGTGAATTAATTTTTTAACTGGTGTCATTTACTTTGCTCAGAAACTATATTTACCTGTAATTGGCTAATGGAACAATTTGGTGAAGGAATGCAGTGAATTCTTCATTAATGTGAAGTACCTAATCAAGGCACTGCCTCAAAAAAAGTTGTTCACTTTTAAACAGAGTAAATGGAAGGACCTGTTGTAGGAACAGGGAGACATAATGAATATACTACTGGTTCCTCTTCAGAAATTCAGTAACACTATATGGTGGATAAGAAATAGGGATTTAAATTTTCTAACTGTATAGGTTTTGGAAGTCATCAGTGTCCGTTCAATAGTAGGAAGAATATTCTGCTTAGTAGTAGTGAATTTCCATAATCCTCCCCTTGAATTAGTCTCTCTTCTTAACTTAAGTAGACTTGGCAGCTTAAATATGAGATATTTAAGTAGTATTGTCTTGAACAGTGACAAAGCCTAGAAGTAGCAGGCCTTGACATCATGATTCTTTTATGTGGCCATTAGAAGGAATTTTTTTTTTTAGAATTTTCCATCATCTCAAAGGAGAAAGACAGCATGTTCCCTGCGGGACCAGTAGTGCGGTACTGAGCTAAATGACTTCAAGATAAGACAGTGGTTAATTTAGTTTTGTTTTTGTTTTTTTTTCTAAGAGTTGAGTTTTCCATGTTAGGATTTGAGGCAAGTAATGCATGGTTTGGACTGGCTTGCATTATAGCTACTTCTTGCACTGTACATTTATGAGCGAGTTCATTGCTTCAGTTTTCAGGGCTATTTTGTCTTTAATCAGAAAAAAAATCTTGTGTGACTTTAAAACAAATGCCAGACTTAGCTAACAGGGGCATTTTACCACCTGGGAAAAAAAATATCTCTTGACTATGCTGAACACTTTAATCAGAAATATTTTAAATACAAATTTTCCCCTTGTTTCTTAATAGGAATATTTGCAAGATCTTTGCTTCTTCATCACCTGAAGTTCCAGTTAGTTCTTGTGGAGAAGGCTGGGAGAGCCTCAAAAAGAGGATTATGAGGTGGGAGGGGGATGTGAGGAGAGATGCACGTGAGGTGACAGTTTTCAGCAGCAGTGATTTGAGAGAGATTGCTGATGGCCTTCTTCCTCCACGCTGGAAGAAGCAGGATGAAAGGTGTAAGGAGTTGTGCTGCTTCTGCATAATACAGAGAGATCTCCTGTGGTTTATTTCCTTCTGCTGCCCAAGATGGACCTGCTGTAAACTTCGAATTCAGTTGAATTAGAGAAGTACTGGTTAATTATTTTTGCAACATTCCTGCATTTGGTGTTGTCAAGACTTGATGCTGTCTTGTGTTCTATGAGGATGATGGCTCAACAAAAAAAACCCTCTTGTCACAAATGTGTAAATAGTTCAGCAAGGAACGTAACAAAGACATTGTGATGCTACAGAAACACTAAGCAGCAGAAACAATAGAATATCTTGGGAAGAAATATCTTCTGATGAAGCAGGCATAATCTGGAGAACTAAAAGAAGTGTTCTAAATTGAGAAATGGCTTTTAAATAGAATTTCTGTGAAGCTGCTGCAGGTCTTTGAAGAATGAAGATCATTGGCTGATGTGTTTTATTAATGTTCCTCGGTGTTTCAGAGAAGCATCTCTCTTTTGATTTATCAAAAAATTCATATAAAAAATTTGTGATTGCTTGATCTGAAAGAGTTTTATCAGCACAAACACTGGTGCTTACCCTGTTTTTTCAGCACTGTAGGCTCTGGGTTGTGATGGTTTTAGACTTGAGTGGCGTTGCTCTTCTGATACTCGACACTTGCATTTTCTATTGGTCAATCAAAGCCCCATATTTCAGTCTCTATCATTTAGCTGAAGAAAGTCCCACCTTTATTCTGTTGTACCCCTGTACTGGAGTTACTGTGTCTGTTTCAGGTGTGGCTCATTATGGTGTGCCTCTTGAAGCCAATTTTATAACCCAAAGAGAGAAACTAATGGAGTTACTCATTTTGTCTCTGCTGTTGGACAGTAACTTCTGGCAAAGTGGTAAACGTGTGAACCACCTCAGCCAGGGCAGCAAAATCTGCAAGTGGTCTGTAAAATTAGCCCTTCATTATTAGTCAAGCCTTCTCCTCAGCTTGTGCTAATAAAAAGAAGCAATTCCACAAGCAATGAGACCACTCAGTCTTGGTCTTAATTAGTTGTGAGATCAAACCAGTGCTGTGTTATCTTTTTACACTTGTAGGCAGATTTCTGCCTCCCTGAAGGTGCTGTATTTTTGGGGCACAAAACAGTGACTAATACAAGGGCAAAACTGGAAGAACTGAGGAAAATGTAGTAAAAGCTTCTTTCTTTTTAAAAGTGGTATAACCTTGTGTATAAACACAACAAATTTCTTTGCAATCCTTATCCAGAGAGAAAAAACTACTTGTTTTTAGGCTTTGTCCATATTTTATAATTTTACCGGTTAAATTGTTCAAACTATATGCAGTATTTTCTTTAGGACATTGATTGGCAATGTGGAGATGAAAATTCTGTTCTAAATATAGATATATTTGATGGAGCAGTTTTTATTTTTTTAAAGGATATTGTCAATTCTGAATTAAGAAAAAGTTACCAACCTCCCTTTATGTTTCATATGATGGAAGTGTATTAAAGGAAATTATGAAGTAGATGGATTGAAAACTATGAAGACACAGTGGAGTAACACGGTTACTAATACGAAGATTTTAATTGGAATATAACTTGTTTGTCCTGATCTGCTAGATTAGTGGCAAGTTTCTCTTACTCTCTGAGTGATTCCCTCTGACCTCATCCGCAGTCTTTGAGGGAGTCATCTTGAGTATATTGCCCCATTTTTGTGGGGATTCTGACTGAAATAAGTTGTTTCCTTAACTTCACTGTGGCAGTAAAACCAAAAGTAAATGGTTTGAAATCCATTCCAGTGAGTGCTTCTTGCTTGGCAGTGTTGTAAGCATTTCAGGCTGCTGTTGCTGTTACCAACAACAGACCTGGAGCTATCAGCAGTCCTGCAGGCACATGGCTTCAGGCAGCATACTCCCACCAGGCTTTTACATGGATGTGGCTAGAGGAATTGAGGAAACTGAAACGGAGTGGGTGATGCTCATACTTTGGTAAGCTTGCTTTTCCATAACAAAGAGACCCTACTGGATCCTGCCACCCCTGCTTGCTCTGGGTGCTTTTGAGTGCCCCAGAGAATCAGCAGTTGCTAGAAGTTCAACCGCTTTCCTGGAAAT